GTCAGAACCACTGCAAGGTAATTTTACGTAGTCCTGTGAAGTTTTGTTGAAATCGGTTGAAAAATGTAGGAAATCCGATCCAATATATAAACGTACAGACACACACACACACACACAACCTGGGTTTTATAATAAGTATATGATGTATAAAATTAATTCCTGTGAATAAATGCGTTTGTGATAATGAATAAGTAATTAATTTTAATTAACTTTAACAATAACAAGTAAGAGTAAAAAAAAACAAAAAACAATGCTTGACAAAATGAAAGTAAGTACTAACTCAAACTGTGAGTTGCTTTTTATTGCCTTCCTAGGGTATACTACAATACATAAATAAATCTCTTGAGATAGAATTTCATTATTATTATTTGTGTTTTATAGAATTATTTAATTCTTTTTAAGATTTACATGCTTCAAGCTTTTGTGTTAAGGAAATGAATAAAATTTTTGTTTTGTCATTATTATTATTTTTTACAATCATTATTATTTACATTAAAAAACATACACAGATAAAGAAATTAGGTTCTATTTTCTTTTACTATTTTCTTGATCAAACAGATTTTTTTGGTTGTCAAACTCTTCTTGGGCTTACAGATGCAAACGTGCATAGAAAAATGACTTCATTCAACTTGAAATTCACACATTAGCAATCTTCGTAAAACAAAAACACTTCAAGTTTACTGTGATTTTGTTCGGTGGACTTTACAAACTCATTGAATCGAGTTACTCGAGTATGTATGATTATATATAGTCACAACACAACACAACACAAGTCGGTTGACATGGAAAATGATTGCTTGCAATGTAGAAAAAGACGTAGAGACATTATCAATCTTGTAGACAGTCGAAAGCATGAGTCAGCTGGTCCAAGAACTGACGTCATTATTAAGCTAAAATTAACCCTTACAAAACAATGTAGTAAATAAAATATACTCATCTCTACGACTAAGAAGTGAAGTAAAAGTAAAAACTAACCATAGAAATTTTATGATTTTTTTGTACAATTGGTAAAAGTTTTTTTTGTAAAACACTAAGAAAACATAATCTATATTGCGAGCTTATGAACTAACTTAACATCTTTTTCTTTAATGAGACTCAGCATCTGGCTCGGACAATAATACCAATACACAATAATAATAATTATCCTCATGAAACAATGAGTGTATTACTGGTATCGTGTATTTCAGTAGTTGTGTGTGTGTGGGCGTGGCAAGGTCTCTAAACTGTGTGTGCACTACCAGGACAACACTTATGAATGACATTTCCCAGCAAGCCTTGCGTGTTGGTAGTGACTGCTGCTGCTGCTTGGTAAAAACGAACAACTGCGCAGCTCTTTGGCGCAGCTTGTTTTTCCTCTTCTTGTCCATTTATTAATTTCTCTCCTTCCACATGAAAGAAAACAACGTATTTTTTCCTTACTTTTTCTTTTAGTTGATATTCATATCCTTTCTTTTTTTTTTTCACTATCCCCCCACTCTTCAGCTTTCATTTTTAAATATGTCGCTTTGTATGTAACTTCCCCAAAAAGAAAATATTTTTTTATTTAATTTTTCATGGAAAATGTCATCTTATTTCTTTCCTTCGTTTTCTTTTTTAAATCTTGTTTAAAATTTCTTATTTTCCTTTCCACTTACTTCTTAAATCATTTTTAGAAGAATATTCTCCATTCTTTCTTTTTCGATATCTCTTCTTCAGACTCTCTCAAATCAGCTCTATTTTGTTTATTCATTCTTGGCTTTAAAAATAAAAAATACATTTACTTTTTGGAGTAGCAAAATTCTTTTTTTTTTACAAAATCCTGTCATGTTAATTATTGTCTACTTAAAAAAAAATAAAAATGCATATCGCTTATTTGTTGTTTCCTGTATTTTCGATTAATCTTATTCTTCACGTGTTCGAAAGTGAACTATTCCAATATAAAAATATTTTTCTTTCCTTTCTTTAACGAAGGCTCGTTTAACATTTGTTTACCATAGCTTAAGTTTTCTAAGTGCTCGTAGTTAATTATTAATAATAGTTTTTATTGACATCTATAACTATTTCTCTGTGTGTACTAAGCACAACAACTGGATCAGTTATTTACTCCCCCACACAAGCTGTCTGACGGCCTGTGTTAAAAGCAGCAGCAGTTTTATAAGCTACTACTGGACACCTTCTCAATGCAGACACAGTGTGTACACAATCACGCATGTGTGTTATTATAATACACACCCAAGAACGGTGTGTGTGCGTGCGTGCGCGCAAAGTACGCGCGTTTGTTGTTGTTGTTGTCTAGAGACAAAAAACACTGACATATACTTAATTATTTAACCGTTTCGTCGTTACAAGTGGAATTAAGAAAAACTAAAAGAAAAGGAAGAAAAAATGACTGTTGTTAAGTGTAGAAAAGTACTGTCATAAAGTATGATAAAGACTACTTATAAAATACCATGATTGACCCCCCCTCTCTCATCTTAACTGCCGAGACAGAGTAGGGTGGCTTTAACTCTTTTAATTTATTGATAATTGTTGTGTGTGTGTGTATATATATATATATATATATATATATGTGTGTGTGTCTATGTATGTAAATTTTATTATCATTATTGGAGGTAATAATTAATAACAACATCGACTCTAAAAGTGATAACTGTTCTAAAAATTGTTTACCCCAAAAGAAGAACGTGACGTTTTAAAAATCATCACTTCTTTCTCTCTCTCTCTCACACACGCGCGCGCGCACTTTGAAAGAAAACGAATTTAGACTACTACAGAAGAAAGGAGTCTGTTTCAAAGCCAATCCCAGACACAGGACAAACAGGCACGTACATTTGTATTATTGACGTATATTTATTAATTTATATATACACTTATATAAATATCTACGATATGTGAATATAGCAGAATTATCGGATCCAAAATTAGAGGATAAAGGATTTTGGTCCCAACAAATAACAACAACAGACAGTAAGGAAGAATAAAGAAGAGAGGAAAAAGTTAAAAATTTATTCTTAAAAAAAAAAAAAAAAAAAAAAGGAGAGAATTATTCGGAAAAGATTACCAATTCCAACAACAACAACAAAATACAGGATTACTTATTCTTTCTTTATCTTTTGTCTACACATCTTTTTCTTCCACAGTTGCCTTCCGGATTCGGTATTATTTTTCATGCTTCGTTTTGCCGGCTGGACTTTCATATAATTACAAACAAAATAGAAACAGGAATCTTGGCTATAGAAAAATAATACACTACAACATAAATACATTCATTCACTACTTGGGCAATATGAAACATCTAAACAATATAAACACTGAGTAACTAAATATTGTAAGTAAACTAAAGTAAGGAAAAATTAAACACTACTACAGTAATAATACACTTTACTCGTACTACGTCCATACAAATAGTTAAAATTAATATGCCTTAAAACTAAAAATAAAACACATAACCCGTAACAAAAAAGAAGCTCTTCTGTGTGTTCCTGGAGTGGAGTATATCAACCCTGAAATACCCTTCCTTCACGTAATTCTGTACTGAACAGATCTAAGAACATTAAAATCTCAAAACTACAAAACCCCAACATCTGAAGATAAAAATAAACAACAATAATAGTGTTATCTTATGTATACATTTAAATGCATGCCTGCGTCATACATTGTATGTGAAAATGGTGTGACGTGTGTTAAAACAATTTTGGTCTGTAACGGCTTCTTCAAGAGAAAGAAAATTTTGATAAAAGACTTAATTCCGTAAAAGCTATTACTTAATTCTTTTACTTTAATTTTATTTTTTCAATCTTCCTTTCTTGTTTATTTGCACCTTTGTCGCCATGTCCTGAAGAAAAAACTGTCACACACACACTACAAATGTAGTGTGTGTATGTATGTATACATATACTATGTATATTATACACACATACACACACTCACATACAATATACACAAGTAAAAGTTGCTATTTAATTAAATACTACGGTAAGATATTGTTAAACAAAGTAGGGACTGAAAAAATCAAACTTAGAAATTAGTATTTTTTATTATTGCTTATACGTAACTTTAAAATAGCTAACTAAATATAAAGCTCCATTCTTAAAAAAAAATAACTGATCAGTATTATTGTTTGTAATTAAATTAACTGCTCAATACAAAGAAAAACAAAAAAGTAGACAGACAAGGGATTTTTAATAAAACTCTTGAAGGCTTGTTTTTTAAATTAAAAAAAAATTGCTTAACTAAAATATTGCCAGAACGTTACTTGCCGCATCAGTTAAAAATTGCTTTAAATTAAAATCTAAGTTTTAGGACCGCTAAAATAATATCAACTACCTACTTCAGCGTGTTTTATTTTTTTTTCTAGCCAAAATTCTAAGTTGTTATTCACAACAACACTTTCCGTTATTTTTTACAATATTCGAAAAAATTAAGAGAAATGATGAATTACTTCGTTACTTCTCAGTTCGTATCTGAAAAATCACTAAAACTGTAGTAAAACGTAAAATTAGCACAATTATTGAACACTGAGCACTAAAAACAGTAATTATCTTTGTTCACATCACACATGCTTTCTAAGTCACTAAATGACTGGACAACACGAGTAACATCAGATTGTTGTCACTGCAGTGTATTCTTAAGTTAAAAAGATTTTTTTTACAATAAATTAGTTATTAGAGCTTAATATTGGTCTTAAAAAGTGTCTATAGAAATTTTATTAAATCCATTATTTTAACAGAACTTAAACACGACTCTATTGGCCAGTATACATTTTTTAAATTTTCAAGAAACTGACCATTGTCTCTTAAGGCTATACGCGCGCACTCAAACCTTTTTAGTTAGAGAAGCCTTTTTAAACAGTATTTGTTCCTTGTTACACGCTTACAATTTTTGTTAATTCATTTATACATTCCGTTACTACTCTATTAATTCTTCACATGTTCAATACTGCTTCATCACACATCTAAAACTGCACACACACACACACACACACACACACACACACACATACAGTTTATTACACACACCAGATGGCAAGTTCGAATGGCAGTAATCGCCATACAAATAACTCCACTACACCAAGGCAGTTCCCCTCATCACCAACCGGTGCCCACTCCCCTGGAAGCAGCCCTGCTTGTTGTTGGTCAGAATTCTGCGAGCAACGTGCCCAGGCTACTGCCGACCATTTTTTCCAAGACTTTCTGGAGTACCTGGCAGCCACCAGCGCCATAGCTACGAGCAACCCGGCCAGTACTGCGGCCCCTTCTTCTTCTGTCGCTGCGGCCGCCGCTTCCGCAACATCTCGAGTTTTGCCTTCCTCTAGTGGAGGGCTATCCTCGTCCTACACGGGCCCTACTTCCAGCATCGGGGGCCATGCCGTGGCCCCTACGGGAAGCAGTAACAGCAGTAGCAACACTTTCTTCTCGTCGACGTCGTCCCTGGCCTCTGGGGGTCATGGACAACAGCCGGCCAGCCATGCCCATCAGTACCAGCACCACCAACAGCAATTTCCCCAAAACGGTTGGATCGTGTTGGGGGACACCATCGTGCACTGTCCGAGGAACCCCATGGATTTTGCCATGAGGTTTGTTGAACACTTCTTGGAACACTTTGAAGAAAGGGTGCGACATCTATCGTTCACAGATGACCCTTCGTTCCACAGGTAACTCTAACTCTATATAAGTGAAAACAAATTTTAAGAGGTTATCGCTTGAAGGAAAAAAATTATCCTCTTGACTACCGTTTACCGGGTGCACTGAGGAAAAACAGTAGCGATTTATCGCCTGCTTTCTAAATAACTTAAAAGAAAATAAACTAAACAATTGAATTAAAATTCCTAGAGAACAATGTCCAAATTATAAGTAAAATAAAATATTTATGAAGTTTGTTGGAGCAGGTAGGAATTAATTGGCTTCAAGAAAAAAAATTGATAGGCAGGAAATTTAATTCAGTTGTTTCGTGTGTAAAAAGAAAAAAGGTTACTTCGTAAGCGGGCAATAAATTGCTACTGCTTTTCTTTTTCCGAAGCGTGCCCGGTAAACAGTAGTCAAGTCCAAATATCCGGTAAACTTCTCTTAACCGCTAGGGTCAGCCTAGAGCCAATTGCAAAATGCCCAATTTAATTTTGAAAGCTTTTTAGAATAAAGTAAAGTTTGTCCTCTACAAATATCATTTTAAGTACTTGAAGAAATAACTAACAGTAACACTATGTAATATAATTTTTACAGTTCTGCCTCAAACTTTTGCACCGAAAGACTAGTCAGCCCCAGCCCCCACCTCCCAGAAACAAGTTTGTTACTATTTTTTATTTTATTTTATTTTTTTTTTAACTTTACGTCAAGGGAGCTGACTTAACAAAAAAAATGAAATGTTTAGACCTAAAATTTAATTGTTTTACATTAGTTTTTTCTTAACAGTAACACTCTCTTTAAAAAATGTCCACTTTTTAAATCTAGAAAAACAAATTATAAAAAGAAGACTCTTTATAAAACTAAAACACTCGTAGTTTATTTGTTTTTTGTTTTTATAGTTTTAATTTTATTTTTAATCTTTCTCCCCTCTTTGATTTAAAAATTGTAAACTTTGGATTCGACGACATATTTTAAGTTCCCACATGGCAATTAATATCAAATAAAAAAAAAAAAAAAGACTTTCCGAGATTTATATTGTCAGTGAAAAACAGTGGAACAAATTCTTCTGTGGGTTAAAAAAAAAAATTCAAAACACTCTTTACTTCATATTTTTACAAGCATGCCTAGAGACTTTTTTTTTTTTTTTTTTTACTTTAGCATGTTTTTTTTTTTTTTTTGGTAAATCAATATTGAGATTAAGGACACAACTGGTTTTTGTAAATCACGGTTATTTATTATAAGATCCCCCTCTCCAAACCCAAATGAATTTGACCCTCGCTTCAAACTTTTCGAGAGGTACTCCACATTCCTACCTAACCTGACTGATTGTTAAGAAGAATTTAAAACCTATTTCATTTTAAGTTGGTCCAAGTAAGAATTTCTAGATAAAATAAGGAAACTTTAAACTAACGAACACTATGCCGCGACTAATAGTAATTTAAATTTAAAAACTGATTTCCTGGTCTTGGTGTGAAAATTGTTTCAACTTTCGTTCGCAATGCTAGGATGTTGGGTGGGGACGTGGCCTTAATCTCAATAAATACTACCATTTTTAAAAAAAAAATTATTTTCCTCGTTTCATATTGCGAATCCTATGTTATTTATGCGAGTGTTTGAAAATTTTTAAAAATTGTCAGTGCGAGCGAGAAAATAACGCTTGAAAGTATATTTTACGATAATATTGAAAAAGGTCACGTGACCAAATAAACAACTTTTATGCTAATCCCAATTTTTTTTTTTTTTTTTTTTTTTGAAGGTTTAAAAACCGAATTGTGTTGTCCTTAAAATTTGTCTTAATTTAAACCTCGTATTCAATTTAGAAAGAGCATCAAAGGTAAAAAAAAGCATATTATTCGCAATATGACTAAGTAAGAAAATAATGTCAATTTCAATAAATCCTTATTTTTATTTTGTCGTATCCACTCCCTCCATCTATGACCGATTTTTGGCATCTCTTATTTTTACTAAGGACAAAATATGGGTCAATTCAATTGGGTGTTCTTGTTGCGGGGGGTACCTCTGTTATTTAGGAGCACCACTCACTAAAGGGGGGGATTAACAAAAAAAAAAAAAAAGAAAGATAAAAATATCATCTGTGGTCATGTGTGTATGATAATGAATAATACACGTTGTTTGTTTTTTTTTTTATCTATTTGTTTATTGTTTTTGATTTGTGTTTTTTTTTGTTTTTTTTTTTAAATGTTTTTCTTTTTAATATTTTTTGTTTTAATGTTTGGCTATTTTCTTATGTATGACATTGCAAATACCCATGTCTTGCTCGTTAAAACTTTTGACCAGCCAGCCATTTATTTAAAATAAAAAAAAAACAAAAAAACTAAAAGTCTTCTCTGGGGGAGAAAAAAAATACGTTCGGACAGTAAAAACAATATAAAACATAAAAATCACAAATAATTAAATAAAGAAAAAGTAAACTGTTTTGCTAGATCTGCATTTTTTATTTTTAAACTAACATTTTTTTTTTTTTATTTAAAATGAACATTTTTAGTCTCTTCTTGTAACCTTGTTTGGAAAATCTCCAAGTCCAATATCTTACCTTCCTCTTTTGAGTCTTTCTTTTTTTATGCTTTGTTTATCGTTGTGAGAGCAAGCAAGGACAATGACATTATTTTTATTTTACGACTTGACCACATTTATCATCTCTCGAAGTGATCTTAAAAATTCAATTTTGTAATTAATATTCTGAGTTGTTATTATTAATTGTATTTTAATTTTACAATACCTAGTTGTTGTATTGTTTTCTTATATCCAAGGCCAATGTTTTTAGTTTTAAATTTATTAATGATTATATTTCTAACTTAGTATATGGAAATTTCGCAGTAAATCGTGATTATTCTCGGAAAAATAATTGGAAATTAAAACTTGAGTTGTGTGATATCCAGTTATATGTAAATGAAAAACAAAACAAAATATATATCGTGCGAAATCACATTTTATTTGTTTTACTTTTCTAGTATATATTTGAAAACAAATGTTACTGTTTTACTTACTGTTCTGTTTTTTTTAACTTACAAATTAGGAAAAAGATGCAATGATCTAAAAAAAAAACAGCGAATTAATCAATTCAAAGTGATATTGATCAAAATCTAAACATATAGTCAATAAAGACTGCAAACATCTTTGAAAAAGAAAAAAAATACACCTAAAAAAAATGAATCGTAATTTATTTAAAACTTGTGTTGTAACTAAGCCTTTCACTACCTACTTTCCTTTTCGCTTTTCTCGATTCATTCATAAGTGTCAAGTGAAGTATAAAAGATCTTAATTGTTCACTGACAGATTCTTCCTTCTCTTTAAATCGACAAATACTTGATGACCTCTGCAGTTTTTCTTCTGTTTTGTTTTTTTAAGGAAATGGAGCTAGAGAGACTACTACATAGTAGACACGCTGACAAATCTTAAAACTTAAAAAAAAACAAAACATCAACCCTACCTACGTTTATTCTCCCACCCCATCTCCAGTGGGGTGTTGTTGTTTATGAATGTTGTTGGCGCTATTTATATATAACGTATTTTTAACATTTTTCTACTACTACTATTATTATTACATACGTACTTAATACTACTACAAAAAAGGTGGGGGAGAGGTCTTAACTCGTCTAGTAAACACGTTTTCAGTTCTGTCAAAACAATTTCAAACTGGCTGATCGAACCATGTCAGTCAATGTATGTTTCAGCTTCAAACACTGAAGTTGTTTCAATAAAGTAAAGAAAGAGGATTATGCCTCTTTAAAAAGTGTTATTTCTTTTTCGCTTTCTTTTTACAATAACAAAATTCCTTTGCAAATATTTTTTTACTTGTAAAATCCTTGATACGCAAGCAATACGCGAATGCATCAGAGGGCAGGTGGACGGCTTAGCTGTTAAAGGCGTCGTCTTAGATATTTCTTAAACTCTAATAATAATCATTTTAAAGATCGAACGACAATTCTCAAACTTTTTGAATATGAATTGTATTTTAAAAAATGTAAAGTCGTGTGTTATACAAATGAAAACATTGAAATCGGGAATAATAAATTTGTTATCGACACAACAGAATAAGTGAAACTGAAAAATAATGCCTCAACGTTTGAGAAATGATGAATTGAATATTTTTTGTCTGTTTTTAGAGAAAAAACATTTATTTTTTTAATTATTTTTGTGGAATACTTTCTCTATCAAGTTGAAAGATAACTTGCTTACAAAAAAACTGACAACTGTTTTCAAATTTTAATCGTCGCATAAAGACGAACTGAAGAAAAATCTAACAAAATACGAAAAATCACTTGATAATTTCAACTTCGATTTATTTATTTTTCTAAACTAAAACAAGGTATTAATAAAATATCGGGATATGTTGGTTAGATTTTTAAAATCATTTTTATTTTTTTATCATCACGTTATTAAAAACTAAAAAGAAAGTTAACATTTCATTGAAATTTCAAAATTTTTGACAAAGTAAAGATCTCGGATTATTAAAAATAAAAAAGTAAAAACGTTTGTAAATGTATGACAACCAAATTAAAGTCTTGAAAATAATTGTTTTTCTTTGTCAAGATAAAATCTTGTAAAACTTTCATCTAATTTACCCGCCACGTCTATTTTCTATTCGAGCCTTTTTCTTTAATATGTCGTCTCTGAACATTTTTATTTCGGAAAAACCATAATTGATGCTGTAAAAATAAAATTTTATGATTATTATTCATAATTAATAATCTGGTATTAAAAAAAACAAAACAAAAACGTTGGTATTTATTTACTGTTTAAGCTTATATAGGAGAACATCGTCCTTGAGCAAGTCTCTCTTTTTTTTTTTTTTTTTTAAACTCATCTTTAAGACATTCCACACATAATTCGTTCGCTCCTAAAATCGGCAATAATGTCAGGGTGTCGTGTGTCATATCCACATTGAACGGGAACTGTTTGGTGAGGGTCGTTATACACCAGGAAGAAAAAAACTTAAACCAGTTTCAGAAACCACCTTCATTCATCCTAAGAATTTTTGCATTTTTAATTCATTTCAGTTAGTATTATT